CTTTCTGGATGTGCTTGTGAAACTGGGTACATCTCCTCGAGCGTAAGAGATTCGTCTTGTCATTTTATTTCGAAAACTATCCACTTCTCATGAGCACTACGAACTTGCATATGTAGTGACAGCCCAACACTCAGAATTTGTGTCGAACTCGAGAATTCACGTTGGAAGCTGTTGGAAAATCCTACTGCGTACATCTCGTTTAATACCTGCACCTCTTCAAGTTCTAAAGTACATCGTTACTCATTTTTTCTCCAAAATTTCCAGTACTTTTTTTAGAAACTACTCTCGTCTTATATTTTTACAGAAATATTCCCGAATTTCGCGATTCAGTATTGGAATTTTATTGGTGGTAGGAAAATCCAAAATTTCCGATTCATTAATTGACAATTAATTCAATATTTGATTATCAATAAATTTTTTAATCGTACCTTTCGTCTCTGAAAATAAATCCGCGATTGACTTGGCAGGAGTCGATTAACTTAATACAACAATTTTTTCCTCTGTGCATGAATTTACTAAATCTGTTTGCAAATATTAAAATTTTTTCTCTGGAAAATATAATCTCGCAAGGTAAATCTACATCAATGCTTCCGGTTAATATTTGACTAAACCAAATTATAGTAACCGTTCATTCCGATTGAGTAGAAACACTCATGTATTAACTTTCGGATGCTACCGGAAAATCGATAAACTTCATACCATCATTCCCCGTAATCCAGATTATATCAGCATAGTATTCGATTAAACTGAACATACGAAATTGCATGATTATGGATTCGTTTGATCGTGGTTGTACGCGTGGTTATGGTGCCTTAAAATTAAATCGGCCTCGATTGAGATTCTGCTTCGATTGATAATCTGACGATTTCCATTCGAGCCATGATTCTATACCGGACATCATCCCTGAATCTTCGACTAATAATTTCAATCGGATCGGGAAATTGTTTCACACGTACTTCCGGGAGCTATTTACAACGCTATTAGAATTCCGTGACTAGATCCAGATCGGTGGATTGTGAAAATTCAGTGAGAAAACATGAATATTTTATCGTTATGTTCTCCCACTACAATAACTGTTTAATTATTTTCCTCCAATTTTAAAATCGATATTGATATCCTTCATATCCAACGACTTAATCATCTCAATTAATGAAATCATAAAAATGATTCTCCATTAGAGAGAATTTCCTTCTCTCCGCGACGTTCCTGAAATTTTTCCGAGGCGAATTCGCAAAATGCGATTACAATTCTGAAGTGCATTTCGATGTAACAATCCACGAGAGATTCACGAGATACTTTAAAGTGCTTGAGAGATATAGCACCGGGTTATGGATCCACAACAAAGATGAATCAACGGCTATTACGAATTTCAACTATTACTCGGTCATTTCTGATGCTGCAGAAGGGACAGCCTGGAGAACTCCCGGGGAGTGTTCAACTCAGTTTTACTCCGTCATTCGAGTTTTATGATTATTGGTTGGGGTGTTTCGAGGTTGGTGGTCCTGGAGTAATGAGTGACACAGGCTCCCAGATAATAAACCAGCCTATTGGTTCGACTTGATTTGATAACAAGTGTACCGCCTCGACAAATTAGTGATTGCGATTAAAATATTGGTGATTGAATGCATGTTGGAACAAAATAGTTAATTGACGGATATTGATAATGGGAGAAGTTGCTCGAGCGTCTATTGTTGCCATTGGTGCTTATCAATTATAGAATCTGATGATTGATTCGTGGTCAGGTGTGACGTGAGTCTCGCCACTGGTGGCTTGCCTGTGTCAACGTCGATTCGCCGATATAGACGACACAATGGGGACCCTTTCTATACCCATTCAGCTACATACATTGTATCTATGCATCTTTCTTGTATTGCCCCTGTAGAGTTCCAAGTCAAATATCGACGTGTGTTTGACTGATGCAAACCCCTGGGAACGGATCAATATTGATACAGTGTTCACTCTCTCTCTTCACTCGTTTTATCATTTACACATTCAAATGCTTTTATTCACAAAAAATTATTTATTTGATTCATTCATTTATCCTATTAATAGCTTTCGTCGTATTCGAAGAAATCATTTATTCCAATTTGAATAATCTTTTTGGCGGGACAATTCGAACTTTTGTCTCGTAAAAATCTATTGTTTTTTAGGTAATAAATTTTGTTGAACGTTAGACTTAATTTATTGAGTTAATTGTTCTGAAAAAATTGGTGGAAAATGGAGAAAATTCGTGAAGATGTAATCGCGTGATTTCCTGCGGGGGAAATTTCAAATTAAATTCCATTGACTTGTTTTAGAACAGTATTGAGAGTTTTTCCGGAAAAATTCTGCAGGACTTTAAAAAAAAATCAAAAAAGTAAAGGTAGAAAAAATTCAACAGAATGATCGACATTTTTGCAATGAAAGTGATTCTGTGGAAATCCTTGAGCCAAGGGAATCCCAAATATCGAACCGTTGGAAGGTCCTTATAAAAATCGTCGGCGAAATTTTCCAATTCAAGGTGGACTACTCAAAAAAAAATGCAAAATTAGTCGGTGGTTGAGAAGAAAAAAACATTAACGAAAGGGTTGCATGCAACAGCCACAGGAATTCGAGGCACGTACTGGTATTCTGTTTTCATGCGGTCCATTCAACTGGTGCTGAAAGCCCGCTTTCTCTCTCTCTCAAGTAGAAAATGAATTTGCTGTATAAAAACAAATACAGTACGCTAGAAAAATACTGCATACTTGCGGAGATTCACTGCTAAAACTGGCGAGAAAGGGGGGGTGAAGGGGAGGGAGGGGAAACCATGTCCTCAGATAAATCGAGAGAACGCGGAGGTGAATCCATCGCATTACTCCCCTCCTGTTCTCCCCTCAGTCACTATTGACGACACCCTATGGATGCCCTATCAAGCGAGAAAATATCACCCTCGTCTCTCCCCCAGTCGTCCTAGGAATAAGGCATCTTGGAAATGTAACTGTCGATACCGCCTGACTCTGCCAATCTAAAAGTACCTCACGCAATATCCAAACGTTTCGACAATTCGCCATGCCCTCTGCCATTTTATCTGATTTCAGAGGGGGATAAAGAAAAGGCACAATATAAACGATTTCATGGAAAAATAATTAGAATTGAATTCCACCATCAGGGAAGTGATGGAGGTCTCAGGTTATCGATCGCCTAGGGAAATGAAATGATATCGAGAAATTACTGATTGAAAAATGGAATGATGTTGAGATTTTTTACAGCCTGAACCGTCAATATTTATTCTGAGACTTACGATCTCGATTTTGGCATTTAGCAACCGGTACATTTCAATTTTTATTCAGTATATATATCTTTATATATCTTTATGTACTGTGAGTCCTTGAGTGGAGTCCTCCGTCAACCAACCAACACCCGGAAACGGAGGACTCCTCCAGCGAACTATTAATGCCGGTTGGTCCACTGGACTTTGAATTATCCGGGGAAGTGATTGATCCGATCGATGACGCTCGGCAATGCTCGAGGATCGGCATTGTTGATCCTCCCACATCCCCATTATTCATCCACGGTACCTGAATATTCTGGCATATCTCTGCAGTCCACATTTCCATCCAGTCGCTCCTTCCAGCGTTCAACCATCTCTCCTCTCTCTCCGCCTTCTCATCCTCCTCCTAGTCCACCCCTTGAGGCATCTCCCATTTCTCCAGGATCAGGCCCTTCGATAAATGCTTATACGTCCATCCATTTAACACCCGACATTCGCGTCATTCGATGTAATGGTGGTACATGACCGTTGGAGTGCATGAGTCAACGACAGTACTTCACCCAACCTCCAGTTAGCACCTCATCACGTCAGGTTTGTGGCTCCTGCTGTAGACCTTCAATACCAGGATCCACCCTCTGCCACCTGCTTTTACCATCAGGACATTTTCCTACCTCTCATACATTCCAACCATTCATCAATTTGCATTCGGCTGCCCACATGCCCTTCAGCAACCGATTTTTTCCTCATCTCTATTCACTTTTCCTCATCCTCCACTGAAATACCGTACAATTTCACTCATCCTTTCTATCTCCTCTGGTCCTCACCACTTCCCACAAATTCCTTACGTATATTCCCATGAAAATTGATCCACTTCCGGATTCACTATCTCGTACGTGAATCGAATGTCTGGCAGAATGCCCATAAATCGAAGAATTTGTCCTCCCTTGGAAACACAACAGCCGGCCCTATTTCTCGCTCCCCCTGGAATATGTCAATGGACGAATAAAAAAAAAAATAGAATTTTCTGGAGTTCTGGGGTATTGGTAATTCTCGGGAAATCGATACTCGATTATGTTGTCATCGAATTATTCGAGGAATTTTGAGTTGAATGAAATTTCAAGAAAAATTTCAACTGCTTAAAAAATTCTTGGACTTTACGGAAAATTATTTTGAGCTCGATTCAATATATATAATATATATAGATGTATATATATATGTCCTGAATTATTTACCCACCGAAAATGCAGTATATAATATTTATTATGTCACATATCATTATTAGTAAAATGAACAATGAAAATTATCTGAAATTTCAATGTAATTACACGGAGAGAAATCCGTTGGAGAATTAACTTTACCTTTGTTATTGAATATTTTTAATTCTCAATGCGCAGAAAATGGCGGCAACTTTCTCTTTGAAAAAATGAATAACAGCCAATACATACGCTCCAAGATTATCAGACCCGAGTCCACATTTTTCAACAAAATTCATCCGGGCGTGAGCATTTTCGTTAGAATTTCTCTGTGCACTTTGATACCCGATGATCCCCATTTTTCTCCTCCTCTTTATTTCCAACAAGTTATTATTTTCCATCGCTTCTAGCGCTTATTATCCCCGGATTGCCGGTTGCGCAGTAATAGTGGAAGGAAAACACTGAGTTTTCCTAGATAAAAATAAAAAAAAAGAACGGTATCGAACTTTTCATTTTAATTCCAGTCTGACCTATTTTTATTTTCCCTCTATTCCTCGACTGAACACACAATTCTTATGATTATCGTAGTACTGCGTCTACAAGAAAAATATTGAGTGTGTGGGAATCAATATTGGGAATTTCATGGGTAGGACAGGAGGACAATGGAATAGATTAGATCGTAGGGATTTAATTCCCGTCATGATTCATATTTTTGAATATTTCCGAGATTAAAGCTGGTGAAGAACTTCCGCTGCGGCATCGAAAGTCGAAGGGCAGGGGGAGCATCCAGGAGATCAGTAATACGTGGGTAGAAAATAGGGGAATATGGAGAGACCGTTTTAGCTTTAAACATTTCATCGGGTGCAATCCCCTGTCTACTGAATTCCGAGCTCGTCCACTCCCCATTTCTCCCCCTTTCTACCCCACCATCCTCTCGTTATTTTCCTATCACGATTTCCCCTCTCATCCGGTGTTTCCAGAGAGGACTTGCAAACAATAGTTATTGCATCTCGTCTCGAGGACAAGGAAAAGTCGATCTCTCTTCCAGCTGATATGTCCTGAAACACTTGCCGGCATTCGCCTGTCATTGCGTCAAAATAAAATTTCTCGGACCGATTGAATGGAATGTGCATATAGTAAAATAAGCGAATTTAATCGGGATATCACAATTGATATCCCGAACATGAATAATTCGTTGATAATTTAATCTTGATGCGCTTATGATTTAAAATTTACCTCTATAAAAATAAATCTCTTCAAATATTTAAAAAATCAATTTGCCATTTTTCATGAGCTTGTCAGACCGTGAAGAGTTTTCGCAGGAAAACCTGTTTAAAACAAACGGTTTCCACGGTACATAGTGTTTCCTCTAATTATCGAAAAGATCCAACCGACGAAACTGTGCCAGCGTTGTAAACTCAACAAGTTTTTCCCTCCGTCGGTGGTTTTTATTCGCCACTTTCTCCTCGTCCACCCCTTTGTTTTCCTTCCCTCTGTTCACCGAATCGATAGTTCACTGAGTGGAATCGGAAACTCATGTGGAACACGAACGGAATCAAAGTTCTGCCATTCTTTTCACTCGGTCGGCCCTCTTCCAAGAAGCCCCGCCTTTGTCTGTTGTAAAGTTAATTAGCAAATAGGCAAAGACATCTCAAAGTAAATCCCAGTGTCGCAGGGTTCGTGATTGGTTCAGAGCTCAGAACACCAATTCGTGTTAAAATGAGGGAAAGGAAAAAAAAATAAAATATATATTCAACGGACTAAGACAGGAGAACTGTGAACATCATAGACATTGAAATGATATTTCCCCTTCTGAACTAGAATTACTCTGTAAAAAAATATGTCCTTCCGGTTTATGCTGCAACATTAGAAAGAAGAATTAGAAAAAAAACTTTTATATTTTCAAAAGTATAATGCAATATTTACCCTGTACACAAGATTCGCAGAGAATACTCCTAATTTCTTTCCATGGTTACATATTTTGGTCTAGAGTATATTCTTTCTCTCTCTTCATTTATTATTTTTTTTCGTGGAATGTTCACCGGTTTCACGGCTCGTGCAGGGGCTTATTTACGTTCCTTTTGCGTTTTCCGTCGACGCTTCTGCCACAACGTGGAACCTCGTTGGTATGAAGTGCTTATTCCAGTTGCCGAGTATTCACGGCCGGTTGCATTCAGCGACGGCAATCTGCCTCGTCCTCTTTTCCTTCAGTTTTTTTTTTCACCAACAAACTCCGGTATAGGCTAAGTAATCCCGAAAACTGCCGAGCAGAAAATCTTCTAACGTTCTTTTCCTTTTCAGTATTATCAGCCAACTTGGCGATCAGCAGAGTTTTACTCGTCGTACTTCTTCTTATCTGTAGGAAAAAGCTAGTTAGTACTGAGTTTTCCATTTCGCGTTACAGTCAATGGAGGAGATGGAGGAGAAGGATGGAGAAGAAATGGGGAGGAATGCCCAGGAAAATTTATTTTAATGAAAATTGTAGGATACGTAATTGCAAATCTTATGAATTCCTCATTTTCATCTGAAAAATTATCGGATTTCACTTGAATCTGTTAAATATTCAGATAAGATCAAATACAATGAATATTTCGAACAGATTGAAAATCCGGGTAAATAAATTTTCGAATTTGATTGACAGTGACACTGAATGCGATTTAAATAAAAAAAGGGTAATTTCCAAATTAAATAGAAATCCAATGTTTTTGGATATCAAATCGTAATTTTGGATTGTAAATTGGAATAAATTAAAATCTGAAATTTCATGACATTTAAACCTCTAAATCGCATTCAGTGCCACTGTCTTGACAATTAATAGCAAGAGTCTACAAAATTTCTCCTTATTTCTGAGAATGAGTCGATTGCTGAAATTTTGAATATTTTTGAAGTGTTCAAGCGCTGTAACCTGAAATTCCAAGAGTAATTTTTTGTAACGGTGTAATCAATAAGGGAATTTTCAATTCTGTCGTTTCCACTGAGTATTTCTCTTCGTAAGAGGGATGTTTTCACTCTTGGATACCGGAGAATTGCTGGATGCCTTCGAGGTTTGTTAGGTTTTTATTTTTTTTCATCAGACTTTAACTCTCAACGTTACAATTTCTAGCCAAGTTTTATTCGGAGGAATGAAGAGCGATGTTGAGGGCGGATGAGGGAATGGTTGGTTGAGTGTTGGCTGCAATTCCCAGTGACATCGCCTAGGTTGCCGGGAGGCTGTTTGTGCAGGCGCCTGGTGAAAGATACCACCGGTTGAGCAACTGAGGTGATACTCGTGCTATCGCGGCACTGATATTTTTTTCATTCATTTTTTCTCTACCTACCTTTTTCACTCTTCTTTCCATTCATTGAGGAGCGGTTGGCACTGGGGGACAGACTACGGGGCATTAATTTTGCCGAGCTGTTTAGTCAAGTTATACAACGAAATTCTTTCAAACACTCCAACGTGAAATGATGTTGCCAAACAAATGGAGATAATTATCTTGCGCACACACAAAAAAAAAATTGTAAAAATTCCACATGTACGTTGGAACCATTATGTTGTGTGAATTCATGTCGTGGTATAATTATCTGAATTAGATAGAACAAACGCTATATGAGACTTTCTCAAAACGTCGTTTAATGTGAGAATAGAAAAATGTTTTTGTCATAAATTTGGAAATGAAAAGATTGGAATTGGATGGGGTAATAAATACTCTTTTAAATATTGGACTCGGACTTCTTTAATCGATAGGAAAAAATCTGTCGATGATGACCGGAGATATTGAAATATTTTTATAATATTTTTATAATATTCTTGGATCTCAAGTGCCATCGAGTGGATTATTTTATGCTGTTCGAAAGAGAATGTTTTCCGGCGTTGTTACTCTGGATTTCATTATCGGAATAGGAGATCTATTCATTTGAAGATAAGAAAAGCTATAGCGAATAAAATTTCCATCATCCTACAGTCAGTTAAAAAAATGCCAAACGGGACGAGACCGTCGCAGAAAAGGTGAAGAAAAAGTAGAAAAATTCTCCACTCGGCGGATATTTCTCCTTTAGCCAAGACTGTCTCTGAAAATCACTGAGAATTTAATCCAATATCCCGCATAAAATGAAGAATAAAATCCTCAACAGGAGACTCACGCATTTTCATGATCATCCATCTGTCGAATTCGTTTTCCTCATCTGCCCCGAAGATCACGTTTTCAAAATCTAATTTAACTTCTTTGACGGGATATATTGTGCGGCATTTTGAACTCACCCATCAGCAGAGTCACTTGGTAGCTGTGAATTCTATGAATACACCCCAAAACCGTAGAGCTCCACTGAGTACATAACCCCATTCACCGCAGAGCAGCAATTAAGCACGCACCCCCTCTGATTTTCCCACATCCCCGAAAAGTTAACTCATTAAAACATGCGAGTAAACAGGTGTATTAGTTGAATCAGCTGATGACTCATGGACAAATCATTCATCCGCTTCTCCATCTTATGATTAATTAGTTAATCAATTCCCCATCCCCATCCATGTCCATGACTGAAGTCTTTCCTACATTTTCCAAAAAGATCATCCATTTTACCCAAACGAATATTTAATTGACCCAGTAAAAATTTATTTCGTTTTATTATATTACTATTTTTTAAATTCTTTTCTGACGCGAGTCATAATAATTTCGTTATTTTTTTCGTTAATTTTTATTTATTTGGGCGATTCCCCAATGTCGAAGGGGGTAAATTGCCGAAGAGTTTCGGTCTGTCACCCTGAGATGTAGAGTCATGGGGGAATCGTTTACACGAGCTCGTCAAAGTTGCATAGTAGGCGAACGAAAAGCTCTCACAATATTCTTTCCGGATCAATGCAGCACCCGAGTTTTTGCTAAACTATGCTGGCCACCTGGACTGTGGGGTTTTTCCTCTCTCTGTGTTCTTTTTCACGTTCCAGAACTGCATAAACCATTATAATGCAGTGTCTCCGAGAATTTTCAAGAAGGAAAAGAGCTCACACCACCAACACCAAATGCTCTCTCCCTTTGTTCTTCATTCAGCCTTCACGCATTCATTTATTCCAGTTGTCCACCATCTCCCTAGGATACTCCACTAAGTTCACGTCATTTTTGCATTTCTCCGCACCTCACACTTTTCTCGTTACACATTTTCCGCTGCGCAAAGATCCTTCTGGTACCTGCGCCACTCTGTGCGCACGTGCGCCACTATCTCGCACCGTGATTTTTTTTTTCAGAGAAAATCCTTTGGATTCCTTGTTTGAACAGAAAAATCAATTGTTTCTGACAATTTTGGTTGTTGGTTGAGTGAAAATTTTGCAGGAATTTATTAAATTCATTGTGTGGGAAACGAATAAGTGGAATTGGGACTTCGATGAACGGTGGAAACTTCAAGGGGGAAGGAAAATTCAGGAATTATTTCACTTCAATCATTTCAAATATAATCGGTTCAATCAGGAAAATTCGTGACTTTATTTGAGTTTCCTTCGAAAACTGTGAAAACACTTGGTTCACAGAGGAAAAAACGATTTTCCATCTTGAACACGAATTTGTTTTCTCTACACAGTGTTCTTTTTTATGACCGTTAGGAAGAGCTCTTGTTCGTACATTTGCCCTCAGAGTACTCAGCCATATGTTATTTTAATTGTCAGGTTGGAGGACTTCCTAGTTGGACGAGCGAAGGAAATGAACGATCACGAGTGAATGATTCTCGTTAAGCTGTTAAATTTAAATTTCAGGCATAGTTGGCAAATTAGTTTTTTAATTACACCTCAATCATTGGAGTTGGACAAATTAAATAGATTTATTGTAGAGTAAAAAATTCATGGAGGCATAAGAATTGGAAATAATTTTCCAATCCGAAACATCGAATTTTTGATTATAAAGACTTTGCAATAGGCCAATTCGTGGGTGGAATGCTGGGAATAGAGATTTTATTGCTCTCGACATGCGAGAGCGAATCGAGGCGCCATTGGCCTAAATTTAGGGATGTGGGTCTTTATGGCCCCCATTGGAGGTCGATATGTATTGGCTATTATTCTTTGGCCATTGAGTGGGGAATTTACAGCTGCTTCACCGCTTCCTGTACGATCCTTCGAATGCCTCATTCACCAGTGAATATCGTGACTTCTATTCTTCATATCAGTGATAGACTAAACTGAAACTGAAATTTTATCCACAAACATAATATTTTTAAATCTTTTAAGATTCATCGATTTAAAAAAATTCTTTTTCTCAATCACAACGTGATACTTTCAATGATATGAACGAATGTTAAGAAATATTTTCGCTATCAAGATAATTAGTGCTTTCTAAAATAAGAATATCTAGGAAAAATTCAATTCTCAATATCCTCTTTCGCGGTTCTCTCATCTTTCATTCACAAAACAAACTAGTGGAGCAATGAATATTCGGTGCTTCATCTACTGAACCGCTTGATTCATCAGAATGAAAAAAAAAAAACCCGAAACTCGACCAAAATGGATAAAGATAAAGAGCGCGATTCCCTTTGACCGCGTATCAATCAATTCCTCGTGGCAATTTTTATCCAGTTGTGGTCTGCAAGACTTATTGATTTTTTGCCAACCCCAAGGTCCTCGTAGTCCCTTCTTTCTGGAAAGAAAAAATCCGACGAGAAGACTGCACAGTTGGGCGAATAACGAGTTTCTGGAACGAGTTAAGTGGGGATAGTGTAATGGAAGGTATATTGTACCTCATAATTATCGACTATGAATAAATTCAAAGTGCGACTAGTGTCGCACCATCGGCCATGGCTTATACCATCGGAGAATGCTATAAAGTTTGATCGTATACCGTAGGATACCGGTGTTTTGTTACGAGTAATTGCACATGTTCGTCCCATCTGCGAATCGATATTACGACGCGATATTGTACTAGCCTTGATTACAATATTCAGGGAATGATGAAAATATCGGGTAATGAATAGATTTTCTGGGAACATGAGGCTGCAGTGGAAACTTTGAGGGTAGGATGTAGGACGATGGCAATGTGCAACCATGACGATTATGTTCTCCAATACAATCCTGTTGCATTCTGCATCCAGTACCATGCGGTTATGGCTTGAAGTCGGTTTCACAGCACGTACCTGAGCTGCAATTTGGTTTGACGATACATTAAACTGGCGGGTCCACCATATATTCCAGTAAATAATAGGGTGCAAAATCATATGAATTTTTTAACTTTGTAAGAAATTTCAGGGTTAACGAGGAAGTTGTTAACTTCAAGGTTTTACACTTTTATGTTCATTACTCGGTGTGAGTGATCGTAGAGATTCAAGTAGTGAAAGTCTTCAGATTAAGAATTTACAGCTTCATGTAAAGTTCTGAAATATATTTTGAGATGGTGGACCTCAGTATGAGACTATCAGAGGTCAGACTACACGTCCGGTTAATTAAATATTGATTTGGGAAATTCGACCATCGGTTGGAATATCAGTCGGGATAATGTATTGATCGTGTTGTCTTATGTTCTTTGCAGAAAGCAATTGCGGAGCTCATGAGAGGGCACTTCTCAACAATCTCCTGGCCAAGTACAACACCCTGGAGCGACCGGTGGCCAACGAGAGTGAACCGCTCGAGGTGAAGTTTGGTATAACGTTGCAACAAATTATTGATGTGGTGAGTTTCAAAGATTTGTTTATCAATGTTACATGCTAGATTAACTCTCTCATGAAATATTAGGTACAGAGTTCCCTCCAACGATTTCCTAATATTTGGCTTTTCGTTGAATATGGAATTTCTTAGGTCCGCACTCACTGGATTTGGACTCGTGGTTGTAATTTACTGACCGGTTACCAGAGTTTTCCAAACCAAATTTACAGGTCTCGAGAAATCTTCAATAATAATTACGGAACTCAAGGTCACTTATGCATTGCTGGAATAATTACGAAGATTTACGTCGTGACGTAATTTTTTCCAGAAATTTTAACCATGTATTACTCCAGAATGAAAGACATCCGTTATTTTTATTGAATGTTTCTCTCCGTGCCTAAGATGCGCGGTAGGAACAATCTTCGGGATTTTCGTGAAATATTTTAATGATTCTTGCCAGAAGTTTCTCCCCTTAAGTAATTTCCCAGAACATTAATTCCTCCGCAAATTCTTACCACTACTCAATCATCGTTCCTGAAATTTCCCTCTAAGTTCTAGTTTGTTAGTCCTGACTTACCGCCGTCGTTCATCAGTGCGATGTAAAATATTGATTTGGACAGTTGGCTGACTACCGATAACTTTTGAAGAAATCCCCGAGAAAGTACTTTTGGTTGAAACCAAGTTCGATCGTGAATAAGATTGATCAGACGGTGGCCGATGCAACACAGGAGGATGTGAGGATACCGATTAGTACGAGTTCGACACGGATTATGCAAGGGGATTTGGACAGGAAACCTAATCAACCCCTAGTCCTCCCTTCCAATACAATCTTTAAAGTTGGAATGCTAATTATACCCCTTCTTTCACCTTTTCCCCGATCACTTTTTATTGCTCCCATTATTACTCAATTATAATATAATATTTTCGACGGATCACCATCGCAAACTTTTCAAATAATGTAGGTCAAATTGTGGGACAATGGGGTGGAGAGTCAAGGGAGAAACGGAGAAATGAAAAACACAACTGGGGATTACGTTAAGGAATAAAGTATTGACGGAGAAGAATGAAATTCTTAGTATAGTGCCCATAGCACCGGTGTTTCTATAAATCGAAATTCTTGGAGATGCTAAGAGGCTGGAGGGGTGAGAGTTGGGGTGAGTAAGTCGAGCAAAGAAAGACTGGAAGAAAAAGAAAAAGATTAGAGGAAAACTCGAGGACAGGGTACTAGAAGCTCACAAGTAGAAGGCGTACAAAATGCACAGCATCTGTTTTCTTTTGAAATGGAAATTTCACATTTTTACTATACAGTCTCATTTTCTTACCGAGTAATAGGGTTGGGTGTGCTTTTGGCCGGTGTGTACATCTTCAGAGGTCTCCGTGTATCTTCTCTTTGTATTTTCTGTACGAATCTGCAGCTCCTTCTTTCCATTTTCCGTCTTTATTCTTTGAAAATTTCACATATCATTTTCCACATTTCCGAATTTTTCATGTGATTTGTTCCTTCCAGAAAAAATTATTTCTGTTATTGAAAATATATTTAAAATTCAATATTTTCTCGTGGGTATTGATTATTTATTGCAAATTCATAACTCCGTATTCTTTGATTTTAGGACGAGAAGAATCAGATCCTGACAACGAACGCGTGGCTAAAACTGGTGAGTACTGACATGGAACTTGATGAGATTTTACATTAAGAACGTTTGAATGAGATAGTCTGAGAAAGGAAGAATTCTTTTTACTACGAACAAGTTAAACTTGGTCGCGGCTGGGGGCAATGAGAGAAGAGTTGGTGGCGCGTCAAAGAAAATTGCGATGAAAACCGAGTAGAATGTCTTCCGACACCAAAAAAAATCGTTTTCCGAGTGAAGAATGGGGATCTTCATGATTGTGGACAAAGATGAGGACAAAGTCCCACCAAGGGCTGGGGAATTTTCCGATTGGCAGTAACTGACATTTCGAGGTTACTATCGATGTATTTAAACAGACTCTGATAGTGGATGGATCTGCACGTTGGAATGGAACAAAGGGAAATGCTAGTATATCTTTGAATGGGGTAGAGACGTCGGATGACTTAGTCCGTAGGTTTATACCTCGGGGACACAAGCCCGATCATTGGCTAAGAGCTTATCCAGAGCCAATTAAGGCTACTATTAACAATGGACCGAGTCTTGGCTCACAGCTGTTATATTTATCGGTGACTCTATGAAGCAAATACCGAGAGACGGGCTTGATCGCTTTGGAATTTGCAGTAGTTACGGATCTTATTTGCTGTGGACATCATTCTGCGCTTGATTGTTGCTCCATTCAGGAGGTTCAAGTCATTTTCCTCAAAGGATATTACTGCTTGGGTAATTGAGAATAAATTAGTTATCTGCGACATTATTTTCCCGTGAACTTGTCTTCATTATTGCCCGTGGAAAGAATACCATGAATATAATGGCGGACATTTCAAACATTGAGATTAATTGTCTTTTATTCAAGTGCAAAAACAATGATAATTTATTTTGAGACACGGTAAACTCGAGTTTCAAAGTTCAACTTGTTTTCAATGGCTAGATGGATTCCCTGTGTGTGACTATTAACAATGTTGAAGGACAATGCTGTGAAATTTGTGAGGTAATGTCCGGTGCTTAACTTCCGGGAAAAATCCCCTCGAATTCTGGTCAGACCGACTGGAAGGAAAATTAAAAAATTACGAGGGTTGAGAGGGATATGAGAAAATGTCACAAGCCATCATAGTGATGGCGTGGAAATGCACCAGGTGTTGTGAGTTGTGAATTTTTTCTGGATATCTCGGTGGGGACAGGTGGATCCAATGGTGTAGGTTTATCCTGACAGTTTCCCAGAAATTTCACTGCTGTACGGGTGTGAATTAATTGAACGTGTGGATTTCACCGCGTGTTAAGTACTTCGTGGTGAAGCTTCTAGGATTTTTCTCTTTGACCTGTCTCTTTCAATAAAAAAAAATTCTTTTATTGATGCGTCTCGTAGATTAGATTCAATGGATCTCAAGTCATCATCAACATTATTAATTGCTCAGAGCGTTTCTCCACGTGAAGAACCTCCCCTATTTATATCAATGGTATCTCTGCATCACCTTGAATTATTCAACAAAAGCATCTTGGAGCAATTAAGGGCAGATCAAAACAACTGTAATCAGAGCCGTAATTGCGTTGGCATGGCCAAGAGGGGGAAAGAATAGATTCCCTCGGGAGAAAGATTATTGTTCCCCAGCAAAACTCGATAAAATAACCGAATAAACGAATAGCTTCCCTCACTTGATTATTTCCTCCAATGAAACAGAGAGAGTTCAGCTCCGTATAAGATCATCAATCATTAATTCACAAAACAATCACTTTATTAGAAAGAACGAGAGGATTGTTCAGTTGATATCAATTGCGGATTTATTCAGGTCACCTAAACATTTATTAATAATGAGAAAAAATTTATATTCAAATAAATTATTTTTTTTATTGGGTGTGCTATGCGTGGTATTTTTAGAGCACTCGTTCCGTAATAATAATCGAGAAAATTATGGAAGTACAAACAATAATTTAGCATTCGTAAAATGGGTGGACTCTGCACACCATAATTTCATGGCAAGGCAAATTACAGTGTATTCGCAAATTCCTGAAAAATGTGGTCTTAATTAAGGATCCACCGTTTCCGTTGAAGCTTTTTTGAATTATCATAAAGCATTTATGTGTACCTGACGTGCTGTGTGCAATCAAAAATTCATCGGATGATCCACCGATTCCAGAGATAAGGCTTGATAGTTATTCAGATATTCGAACGCTCCTTTTATTTCCACCGGTAAACTTCATCCGAGGAAAATCTCTCCAAACTCCCATTTCGATTCAAATAGCCAGCGATGCCGATCCTTACCTAATACTACGGGGATTAATTTTATCGCGTTATGTAGGCGCTAAAGAGAAAATAAAAAGAAAATTGTGAGACTTTTAAAATAAAATTTTAATGATTTTTTCCCATCCTCAGGTTAATCCCAGAAGTAGGCCCGCCGCGATAATAAATTAGACATTACACAGATAATAATAATAATTATTAATAATAATAATAAATAATAAATTACTTCAACATCAATTTTTTATCAGGGATGATAAACCCACTGCAAATGGAACCCTCAATTCCCATAACCGTCAAAGCCACAGTGACCCCCAGCATTACCTTATCAAACATAAAAACTCACGAATTCTTCCAAAAGAATGCCCAAGTCAACAGAAGCTCTCAAATCGATTTCGTTTCCTCCCAATTTATCTTCATCGTGGCGGGTAAACCGGGCATTACTTCCACACTTTTACATTGCCACCACTATAAAACAGCAGAACAACGAGGTAAAAGTCGTGGTTGTCAACCATTTTGTCTTTGTCGAGGCTGACTTGTTTCAACCCAGGGAACACAAGCGGCTCGTGGTCCGGAGTGAAATTCAATCTGGAGCTGTTGCGATAAAGTATCGATCCCTATGTACCCGATGCTGTCACATTGGTTACACTTCGTATAGGATGTTTTGTTGGTGTTGGTGGGGTAGTAGTTGAAACGTAATCAGCCCTGGGAGAAATGGGGCCGATGTTTATCGGGTACATTCTGGATCTAGACGCTCATACTGGATACGTTGGAGGGTCCAGAATGGCTTTGGTAACCTCTGCCTCCCGTTCCACCTTTTGATCCTCTCACTGTCTCACTATTGTACCAAGCAACAACAGCAACAGGTTTCGAATGGCTGGGAGCCGCGTGTGCCAGCGATCGGTATATTTTCCACCTCCTCCCCACTAAATCCCTGCCAACGAGATGATTTGTGGTACTTTACTCATACCAAAATCACAATATTGACACTGTCGACGGCAGGAGTTATCAGGAGTATATCAGGTGATACACGGAGAACTGTCGAAAAAGGTATCTTATGTCTACCGAAAATGGCACTCCGATGTAACGAGATACCTCATCCGTCGATCATGTGAAGCGACGACGGATTGATTGATACCCAATCGTCGGAGTTTTCCGTTTTTCACTCTCCGTCGTCCTAGTCCCTGATTTTCGGTGATTCTTTCCAATTTTCAAAAATTCGCCCTTACCGCCTCTTTCGCCTCTCCTAGGCCAAATCTGTCCGATAATTTTCCATCTTCCATAGTTTTCGAGTTGTTTTCCAAATTTTATAAAATTAAAAAAATCTAGTTCCAGGTCGTAACAGTATTGGATATTTCCACTTGACGTAAAAAAATGGCATTTATGATATACGAGCGTAAAATTCATAGTGTCAGTCAGTGGAATAGTAAGATTCTACGAGATAAAGGTATATCTGATCCTTTGATCCGTGAATACGCGGGAGGGTGGGGGGACGACCGCGAGGGGAACCATGTGGAAGGGATGCCCTGGGGGGAAAAGGTGGATGTATCATCGGGTGACGACGGGATAAACTTTATCTCACCCCGCACTCTCGTTCTACGTCAAATCCATGACAGTAGCGAAATTAATCCATCGAAACTAGTCCATAAAGATACGGACACCTGTGAGAGAATACTGGAAATATGAAATAATTTTTAATGGTTGTTACCTCACGTGTCCATATCACCCCAGTATGTGTGATGGCGCTTAAACCGTTACGTAATAGTATATTTCGACACTAGGTCCTTACGGAATTTTCTGGCGATTGTGTAAATACAATCGGTTGAAAAGTTATTTTATTAACTGCAGTTATAAAATATTATGACATGAAAAATCATGGAAAATTACCACACCTGAATTTTCGGACGTAAAAATTGCGAGAGATCGCCGTAAAATTTCTGCTTCGTCCAGAATTCCTGTAATTTTTCGTTAATTTTTCTCTACGCTTATCAGTGAACGGAAAATTTGAGATCCGAGAGATTCAAGAATAGGAATGATAACGATAGCAATTACGTACCCATTGATAATTATTACCCCCAAATTTACGACGCAAAATTGCAGATAAAATAGACTTGTTTTCCGTGAGAATGTAGATGGTAAATTGACTTTATGGGGACAGTGTTTATTGGATTGGTCAAGCTACTTTTGCGGTAAAGAGCTGACTTGGGTGGATATATTTGAGATTTTATCGTCATGGCATACACTGAGAAAATATATATTTGACGGTTCAGTCAATCGAGTGATCGAATTATAATTTTCGTAGAACGGCCCTACGATTTTTTCCACAATACTTTGAGATCCCTCTAAACAAAACATTTAATTTATGCACTACGATAGTGAATACTCGTTTAAACTGTCCTCCATCATCGAAACTCAACAAGAATACTGACGATAAAAAATTTGAATCATTAGGAATAAAGCTATTGATGAGCTCGAGAAGTGTGAAGTGAGGAGAGCTGATCTCAATGAAAGCATCGAACAAGAGTCTCGTATGAGGAGGTGGCAGAGGAATGGCGTTAAAAAATAGCCATTTATCAGAGGGCAGCGAAACGAAAGAGCAAAGGAGATGAAAGAGCACTCATGTGTTGTGAGTCAAGAGGGTTACACCATTACAAGTAACAAACGGGAAGTGAGTTGAGCCAGTGGAGAGGGATAATAGATAGTTGATGAAAGGGGTTGACTAAAAGACAAGCAAAATGAGAGTACACACGATTGTGCCAAGGGCCCATTCAGGTGGTATAGGGCATTGTCACAG